TCACGATATGTTACAAGAAGCATAATCACGATATGCTACAAGAAGCACAATCACGATATGCTACAAGAAGCATAATCACGATATGTTACAAGAAGCATAATCACGATATATTACAAGAAGCACAATCACGATATGTTACAAGAAGCATAATCACGATATGCTACGAGAAGCATAATCACGATATGTTACAAGAAGCATAATCACGATATGTTACAAGAAGCACAATCACGATATGTTACAAGAAGCATAATCACGATATGTTACAAGAAGCACAATCACGATATGCTACAAGACGCATAATCACGATATGCTACAAGAAGCATAATCACGATATGCTACAAGAAGCATAATCACGATATGTTACAAGAAGCACAATCACGATATGTTACAAGAAGCATAATCACGATATGCTACAAGAAGCATAATCACGATATGTTACAAGAAGCACAATCACGATATGTTACAAGAAGCATAATCACGATATGCTACAAGAAGCATAATCACGATATGTTACAAGAAGCATAATCACGATATGTTACAAGAAGCATAATCACAATATGCTACAAGAAGCATAATCACGATATGTTACAAGAAACATAATCACGATATGCTACAAGAAGCATAATCACGATATGTTATAGGGAGCTTAATGCACCAGTGGGCCAGTGACAGACGTGGTAGGAATATAAATTCACACTAAATGTACTGAATGGAAGAGACAACTAGAAGCAAGTCAGTGAGCAGGAAAGGAGCAGGACCACACACTGGGCAAAACACTGGGAACAGAGAGGTAAAATAATCCAAGAATCACAAAATATTCTAATAATGAAATACAAAATACTACTATCTAATAAAAACACACATGACAGTAACTGCCTTTACATAAAGATTTAAAGTCTTGCAGTTCTTCAAGGAATGAATATTACCCACGACCTTTTAATGCCAGAGTTTTAAGATGAAAAATGATGGGGTTATAACAGTTGTGGTCAAGTCTTGACATGAACTTTTTGCAGAAGGTGAGTTTCACATGATCTTGCACAATATGCCAGCCCTTAGAGTTTGTGTTGTAGGTGACTCTTAGCTGCTTCTGCAAAAAATGTTTAGCTCAGTCTCTGTAAAACTGAGAGATGTTACCATGTTTGTGTTAGCTAAGTGATTAGCTGTGGCAGCCATATTGCGGTTACACGATGAAAATAGTTTTTGTGTTCTCGCACCGCGTCTGAGAATCTGTTCTGTGCATAACCCCTGGCAGAACTTTTTTCTTACAGGGGATGTGCCAACTATTGTGTGATTGGTCAGAACTTTGTGAGCATGTTTATGCAGAAAAATCAATGAATTACTCAGTTATAGCTTTGCTTCAGCTGCTTTGCTGAGGAGCAGCTGGTCGAGGCTGTTAGAAAATACAGCCATCTTTACAATTGATCCAACAAAACTTATAAAGATAGGGGCTGGGGGTCGCCTGGGGCTCTCCTCTGCTTCTCTCTGGGTGGGGGTGGGTGCAGTTGTCTCTGTTGGGGAACTCCTGGGGCTCTGGGCTTGGAGGCTGCTGTGTGTCTGTGGCTCCGGTCTTCCCTGTGTCATCATCATGTCCTGGGTGGATGGGTCTGTGGGTCCTCACACCCACTACTGAACATTCTTATGGAGAACCTTATTCATTCAACCTTTATTTAGACAGGTTAATCCCATTGAGCCTCGAGGACTCTTTACAAGAGAGACCTGATTTCAACAAAGAAAGATGACAACAATGGACAACAGCGACAACAATAGGTGTTTATCAGATACACACTCAGCTGGGTTGTGGTGGTCACTAAATACATCTTGTATTACCATGTACCATACAATACTTTCTAATGATGTTATAACTATCATTATGTTGTTTGTTGTGGTTTCTCAGTTTTGTCTTTTTTCTTTCCGCAGGTCTAGAGGCAGACTTCAATGATGTTGATTCGTGTTCTCTTTATACCTCGCTCCTCTACTCCTATCTCCTTCTTTCCCTTTTAACCCTTCTCCCACTTTTCCACCTTTATTTTCTTGTTTTTCATCACTGTGGAAAAAAAAAGAAAATACAGCAAAACTTATAAAGATAGTAATTTTTTTTTTATATATAAAAAGAAACTGTCCAGATGACACAATTTAACTTTTTTGTGATTTATTTACCTGGATGACTGAGCCTACTTGCTTTTTTTTCGTTTTAACCATTTTGGTCAGGTTGTCCTCGGACTGGTTCAGTGAGTAGTATGCAGCCATTTTACCTATAACATTTGATTGTTATGCACTGATGATCGATTGTTTTACACTGATGGTCCTCCATTTTTCATGTGTAAAGCCACACTGCCTGGGAACTCACCAGCAGACTGGTTTAAGACTCGTCAACAAGGTGCTACTTAATACGACAGATCCTGTTGGCAGGTCTCAGACTGATGAAGTCCTTTGAATGAAGGATGCAAAGTTTTCTTCCAAAAAAAGGAACAGTCCAGATGACATTTCACTTTTTTGTGAGTTATAAAGATAGTCAAAGAAGTTGTGGAAGGAGACCACACAATATTTGTGTTCAAGGAATCTGGGTAAACACCCACAATCCGAAAGATGTTCTTAGAAACTTTTTCTTACTTTTGCAAATTTTTCTTTTTTTATTTAGACAAAAAAGGCTCTAGGTTTCTGTAAATTCCTTAGGCTGGTGTTGAAACTCAACAGTTCCAATGAAGAATGACAGGAGATCGGCTTGTGGCTAAAATAATTATCAAAGATATATCTTGAAAATAAAACTGACTCATGTTTAGCAAAAATAATGTATGCTTCTTTTAATCCGTGGTGCATCAACCTATGAACCAATGCTGCAGTGTACTGCAGTGAGAAATAATGAGAAATGTTCTCATCTAATCTCAGAGGAGTGTGTCTTCTTAAACCCATACACCAATAAGTAGTATGTTAAATAAACTACACAATGAGCTCATTAGGCATTAAGTTATGTAAAGTGTTCCAAACATTTAAGAGACAGTTTTCACTGACAGGAAAATATTGGCACCTTAAAACAAACAAAACAAAACAAAACAAAAAAAACTGGGTCACAAGCTCTCCTGTTTTGACTTGGAAGGAACATTGGCTTTAGATCATAAATTCAGATGTCCACTGAATAGGATGCATTTTTCCTAAATAAACACCATGGTTGAGATAACAGCAGCAAACTAAACAAACTGTATCCTGCAACAATTTTAGTTTGATTTTTTTTTTTAAGCCTGAGGGGGGAAAAACACAAACTGGCAATTTTATTTAGTTATTAGCCTAACGTCTTTTCCCATATGACCAGTGTCACTGTCACAGCTGAAAAGCTATTAACTATTGATAACAATCAGACTGAGCATCACTTCAAAAATGACCAGATCATCCCTTTAATGAAAGAGTATTAAAGTTTTGCGGGGTTTTAAAACTATAACTGCATAGACATCATAGTGATGTTTAGTGCAACAACCACCGGAGGGACCACGTCACATCAAACTCCAACTGCAACATCCTCTGATGCGTCGTGACACCAATCAGATTAACGCTTTCCTTCTCCACGGCGACAAAAACAAGAAGAAAATGATCGATCTTGTTCGTGTGTTTGATTCTGCTCAGGTCATTTTATTCTGTGGGTCTTAATGAGTCATGACAGTTTCTTAGAGCCTGGAGCTGTCCTCCCACGCTCCCCCAGCCCACTCCCCTCCTTATTTGAGGCGCTGCTCCTGAGCTGCAGAACTCAGAGCAGCAGGAGGAGCAGTCAGAGCAGCTGTGTGTCTTGAAGCTGCGAGGACAGGAGCTGGTCCCACAGCTGCTTCAACTCTTTCTGATCAAAAGAAAACCTGCACACTATGAGGCTCATCTTTGCATTTGTGGCGGCTCTCCTTACAGGTACGTGATGCTAGTCTGCTTGCAGTTTCAGCACCATGGACAGAGCTCTTCTTCCACAGTTCTTTAGTTTTCTTTTCATACACAGGAAGTCTTGCAATACCAGTGGGAAAAGAAGAGCAGCGGGAAGATGTGGTATGATCATTCCTATTTCTATTTGAAGAAATCAAATTGTTGAGGGAAAAAAGCTGACTTCTCTTTATGCTTTCTGCAGGTAAAACGGTGTTTGGTTGAAGTCTTGTCCAAAGCTCTCTCCAAGCAGGACGCTCAGCTGGACCAGGAATGCAAAAACATTATCCAAGCAGGTCTGTCACAAAATCAAGCACATGCAATTAATCAGATAAGGCTTTTTTCCTTCCTTCATGCTCATTTGGGGGTAAATCAGAGTCCAAGATGAGAACGGGCTGAAAAGGCTTCTTTGAAGTAATTTTTTTTTCTTGATGATGCAGCACTCTAAAAACTGCAGAGGGGCTGACAGATTAAACACAAAACATGCAGTTTGAAGATATCAGATTAATCTAAATTAAACTGAATAATCAGATCAATCTGAATTACTTTGCTTATGCAATTAAGTTTACATCCACTCATCACAGTTGGTTATGATAATATTTTGTGGCTTTGAATGATTTATTTGAATTAGGGTGGAATGACAATTCAACACATCTCCAATGATTAAAAGTTTTCAAATTTTTTTTTCTAATTCATACAGAATATGTACATGAACCCCTAAAATCTGGTTACATGTCCTGTAGCTAGTTGTACCTTGACACTTTTTGTACCATTCAACAAGCTTCTAATGTATTTCTGATCGGGTATTTGACCACTTTTCTTGGGAGAATTGGTCAAGATGATGCATACTGGTTAATCTTTCTGGCACAAACCTGGTGTTTTAGCATAGTTCATAAATTTTCAATAAGTTCAGGGTTAAGACTTTGGAAAGACCATTCCAGAACCTTATTACTAGCTTGATTTATCCAATTAAAAACTTGTTCTGATGTCTGTTTGTGACAGTTGTCCTGTTGCAACATCAGAGTTTCAACTGTGTAGTTTAAATTTGAAATAGTTTAGAGGAAGTTTTAATTTGCTTTGTGTAAGTGCCAATACAAGAGCATGATACTACCACCACCACGCTTGACACTTTGGTAGTGTTTGAAAGTCTTACTTTGACTCCTTCAAACATAGTTCATAGTTGTGGTCAAACAGCTGTCTTTGACTCAACTGACTATCAAACTTTTCTTCAGAAGGCATTTGGCTCATCCATGTGGGCATCCATGGAGTCACCTTTGGGTCAGGGCCTTCTTTAATGGTCAGCCCCTCAGTTCACAGCGATGTAGAATATAAACAGTCGCACGGGTGTTTCAGCAGCTCATGTCGGATTGACCCTGGGTAGTTCATCCTAACCAATGTCCTCTCGTCCTTAGATTTTCACAGAGTCTCTAGAACTTGCAGTCTGAGTCTCATTTCAAGTTTTATAATTATTCTACCCTGAAAATCAACAGTTAAAATCAATTATTAAAAGCCATAACTCTTGTCATTCAGACTCGAGTGGACTGCAACTGTAAATCTGTAAGAACTTGCCAAAAAATGTTTTCCCAAATCTTTTCTAAACTTCGGCCTTTTGTTGTCTTAGGGACCAACCATGCCCCACTGGACAAGAAGAGCGGTGAGGGGATTGTAACTCAGGAGGAGGTCCTTGAAGGTCACGCTCAGGAACCAGCGGACGTGAAAGACATTGAAGCGCTCTTGAAGTCCGTGGAAGCAAACAGGGAACACCCCGAAGTCGAGCGCAGCCAAGAACCCTGGAGTCTGGACGATAAGACAGGAGGAGGAGAGCGGGAAAAAAGGAGCAGCTGGAGGCCTGGAAGGTTCCATCAGAAAAAAAGCAAACGAGGAGAGGAAGAGGATTATGAGCGCAGTCAGGAGCATTGGGGAGATATGGAAAAGAGGTTGATGGGAGATGTAGAAGATGACGAGGGTGATGGAGAAAGTGAAGAGAGAGAGAAGAGGAACTGGAGGCCTGGAAGATACCACCAGAGAAAACATAAACGAGATGAAGGACAGGAGGAAGAGCCAGAGGAAGAACGCAGCCAAGAGTACTGGGATGTGGACAAAAGGGATGAGGAAAAGGACGAAGAGAGAGAAAAGCGCATATGGAAACCCACACATCGCTATCACCACAAGAAAAGGCTCCACAGACGCAGCGATGAACCTTCAGAGCATGAGGGGTACGAAGACCGCAGCCAGGAATCTTGGGATCTTGACAAGAGGAACTGGAAGCCTGGCAGGTTCCACCAGAGGAGACACAAACGCAACGAGGAGCTGTCAGAGGAACCCAGGGAAAATCCCGATGAAGAACGCAGCCAGGAATACTGGGATTTTGATACTGGAATGGAGAAACGGAGCTGGAGACCTGGCAGGTATTACCAGAGGAAACACAAGCGTGATGAAGAGCTTTCAGAGGATCCTGATGAAGAACGCAGCCAAGAATACTGGGATTTTGATACTGGGATGGAGAAACGGAGCTGGAGACCTGGCAGGTATTACCAGAGGAAACACAAGCGTGACGAAGAGCTTTCAGAGGATCCCGATGAAGAACGCAGCCAGGAATACTGGGATTTTGATACTGGGAGAGAGAAAAAGAACTGGAGGCCTGGCAGGTTCCACCAAAGAAGGCAGAAACGAGACGAGGACCTTTTAGAAGAAACCAAGGAAGATCCAGATGAAGAACGCAGCCAGGAATACTGGGATTTTGATTCAGGAGTGGATAAACGAAACTGGAGACCTGGCAGGCACTACCAAAGGAAACACAAACGTGATGAAGAACTATCCCAAGAAGCCAGAGAGGAACTCAAAGGAGAACGCAGTCAGGAAGACTGGGGCCTTGACAAAAGACATGTAAAAGAAGAAGAAGAAAAGCAGATATGGAAACCAACACATATATACCACTCTAAAAAGAAGCTTCACAAGAGAGGAGGAGGATCATCTGAAGAAGAGGAAGAGGAGAGAGGAGATTCTGGAGAGTATGTTGAAGAGGCAAAAGACAGAGATGAAGCTCTGAGGTAATTTCTGTTTTTATAAAACTTTAGCTGTGAAGTGTCTCATTTTGTAAAAGAACACACCGCAGACTTCAGTTCCATCAGCTGGGAGAAATTAAAACATGTTCTTGAATTAACAAACATCGAGCAGATACTTCAAGATTCTATTGGTCCATTTTTCAGATATTTGGCTGAGAAGCGCAATCCGTGGATCTACAGAGGCTTCTACCATCCTGCCTGGTATAAGAGAGACTCAGATGAATCTGCTGAAACAAAGAACAAGGTAGACCTGATCAACCAGCCTTTCAGCTCCAAGTGCGCGCTAAACTAGATATTTATATAGTTGTCTTTTCTGGGATTTCAGATGGATGAGCTGGCCAAGCTGTTGAGTTACAAGATAAACCACTTGACTAACCACTCTGCTCAGGAGGAGACTTTACACCAGAGAGCACTCACTCCACAGGAGGTAAACTGAGCTGGCGTTACAAACAGCCCACTAACCACCACTGATGATACACATTTGTGCATCTGAACAACTCAGAAGAAAACAGTTCTTATAAAGGCGTCATCTGCACTGAGTGCAGCAACACAAAACTTTATACCTGGGCCAAGATGGGGTAGAAGTAGGGCAGCCGACTTGGGATCAGTAAGTCACGGCTCGACTCCCAGCCATTCCCACGTCTTGAGGTCTCTGAGCAAGACACCTTATCCCTAATTGCTCCCCGGGCACCTACATAGCTGCTCACTGCTCCACCTGGGTGTATCTTCGGTGTTTTGGGTTAAATGCAGAGAACTAATTTCATCATTGTATGGGAACATACATTTAGGGATGCACGATATTGGATTTTTGGCCGATATCTGATATATTAAAACTTATGTGGCCGATAACCGATTACCAATACCGATACCGATATTTTCCCCATAGACCTACTTAAAGAGACTACATAACTTTCTCTGCTGTGGAATTAAAATACAAAATTATTCTGCATGGTCTTTGTCAATTTGGCCTACTACCAAATGCAGATGTCAAATTTATTCATGCCATTTACTCTCTCTACAATGACAACACTGAAACAGTGCAAATTTGTAAATTTTCACAAATCTAAACTCAACAACGTGCGCGACATCATATATATATATATATATATATATATATATGTGTGTATATATAAAAACAGCACCTTTTATATTGGTGTTATTTTGATGGAATGTCCGATATTTAACTATCGCTAATATCGGCCGATACCATGCCGATAATATCGTACATCCCTACATACAATGATGACAATCTCAGAATTTCCCTTCCTTTAAGACCAGGACTCAACCTTATTTCTTAAACATCCATAAACAACATGAACTGTATTTGGCTGGCCTATCAAAGCCAAGTATGATCACAACTTTGCACTAAAGCTTCACTGGGACAGAAAAGCAGCTGTGCTCACTATGATAACCTCCAGTTTAGATGCATCAAGCATAAAACTCAGTGAATGTGCATCTGTGAATACAAAGAGCAGTGAAATGAAAAGTTGATATATTCACACACAGGCAGCAACTGCATGAGTCTAGCTGACAGTAATTCTTGCCGTCCCTTCATCTCCATTTGCTGTTTGACTTCTCCACCAGTATTTTATGACTGCTGCAGTAATCACACTGACGGCCTAATGATGGTAGCCTCCAAGAGCAATCAGCGCTAATCTGCCCAATAAAAAAAGGACCACAGCCTACAGAGGATTTTTTTATTTAGTTGCATACTTTAGAGCAGGAAAAGGAAGTACTGAGGCAGTGTACTAGTGATTCATTAGTTCCCCAGCAACAACAACTTCATAGATAATAAAGGAATATGTATTCAAAGTGAGCAGTTAACCCATTAGAGGTCCCCTCTGCACCAGAGCACAGGCTGCAGCAAATCTCAGACAGGAAGCGATTTTTTTTTTTTAAATCCACACATAGGTTTTATTTTACTATACCCTAAGAAAATAATTGTAAGATTTCCTGTTGCTTATGCGTAAATGCTTTTTTTTTTTCCCCCTAGGAGAAAAAGCTGGAAAACCTGGCAGCGATGGACACAGAGCTGCAGAAAATCGCAGCCAAATTGCATGACAGGACTGCATAAACCTGCAGCCTTTTAAGACCATCAGCTATTAAATGTCTCCATTTAGCCGTTTGTCAGCCAAGTTAGTGTGCTTACAGTGTTAAAGTGACAACATGATGTTAAAACGCTAAGGCCTTGCCATTTTATCGCTTTGTTTGCCGTTTTTGTGACATTATGATGTTAAATTCAACAGCATGGAAATGAAATGAATGTTTATATGTATACTGTCTAAGAAATGTTTAAAAAAAAACAAAAAAAACAAGATAAATTATTCAAATGTGTTTCTTAGGAGCTTGTTCTGTTTGCAAACTAATAAAAGAAGTTATTCTGGGACCAAACAAATATTTTTAATTATTTCTTAAAGTAAAAGTGGTCGCACATCACGTTTTAAAACATTATTTGCAGGCACTGATGCAAATAAAGGAATTCTAAATTAGCAAATAAAAAAAAATAAATAAAAAATCTGGTTATCTGCTGGTCTCAAGAAACAAACAAACAAAAAAACTTGTTACTTAAAAATAAAAAAATATATTATGTTCCCTAGATAAGAAAAACAGCTTAGATGGCCTGTTTTAGCCCACAGCTGTCAATATACCTTAATCTGCACAAAAACAAGAAAAATGCTCTGATGGATGCAACTCTACCTCTGTCTTATCTAAAAAAAATCAAATCAGTTCAACAGATGTGAAGTTGGGGCTAAAATCTCGATTAATATCCCCGTGACAGGTCCGATCCTTCTGCGTTTATTCTCTGAGTTTTTCAGTTTTTTGCCTCTTCGGGGCTGGTTCCTCAGATCGCGAGGAGCCTGCTGGCTTGGAGTGGTCCAAGGCAACGGTAGTCCCAGACAGAAGGTAGCCCCCACCCCCGCTCATCAGCAGCAGAGGATGAGTCCTGTTAGGCAAAACCTGGGGACACGACAAGAGTCAGGAGAGGTTACTACCTCTGCTATAAAGGCTGGGAGCGAAAACAGTCAGAGCGGCAGATAAATTATTTTATTCAAGTTGCTTCATAGAACTGAAACAAAAAAGTTTCTTCCACAAAGAACGGGCAGATCAGCAGGAATTCAGGCTTCAAGTCAGATGAACAGAAAGGATGCAGGGATTCACATAATCACAGCTTTCATTAGGCCTGTCACAATAAACAATAAATTAATTAATCGCACGATAAACGAAAATGATCTACCTCACTTTCATTTATCGGCTTTATCGTTTCTTCACATCTCTCTACTGAAGACATGGCTCAACTCCGGCGCTCTTCACTGACCTCTCCCTTACTCTTTAAAATCCACTTTAACTCTCCAAAATCGTGTTTTTGGATCGTTAAACGTAGCTAAGCTGAGAAGCTAAGCTAACAGGTAAACCTCGGGAAAAATCCTCCGTCTTGTCGAAGCTCCAAAATTCATGGCTCCATGCATGGACTTTGTTGTTTTCAACCAGTTTGACACGACTGTCAACAAGGAAGAGGGCCGGCAATGGAGGAGGGGGCGTACCAAAGAGTTCATCTAGTCACAAGCAGAACTGGTTTGTTCCACTTTGGAGTAAGCTGTTGGGGGAACAATCAGTTTTGTTGTGTGTTTCCTTGACTGATGAAGCCTTCCGGATGGAAGGTGAAATGTTTCAGCACACACAAAAAAAGAAACTGTCCAGATAACCTGACTGAAAATTGTTGGATTGTATACCTGGATTATTGAGCATGGACTTTGAAGCTGAGAACTTGTTTACTGATGTTTTTATTAAAAGCTTTGTGTGAAAAATGCTATGCTAAAGAGCTCAAACCACACAGAGCGTCCGTCATTTTGAGAACCGAAGAGAGACAGCCCATGTCGCGTCAAGAGGCCTCCCTCCCATTTTTCTTAAAGAGACACTCTGCTCACTCCCTCACTATCCATCCTTTGGTTCAAACAGTCTTATACTGCCCTCCGGTGGTCAAAAAAAGTACTACACGCAAAATAAATCAATTTCTTCTTAAATTTGACAATTACTCATTATTGTCAAATTTCAAACAATATTATCGTTTATTACAATAATTTCTCATCGCCCAGCAAAATTTGTTATCGTGACAGGCCTAGCTCCAGTAATACAAACTGGTGGGACAGTAACCAGCTTTGATCGTAGTATTTGTATGCACAAAATGATGACGAAGCTTGTACATTGTTTACAGCAGCCGACTGATTCAGTGCGTCTGTATTTACCTGGTAATGCCTGAGCCAAGTGTCGGTGAGTTTGAGGTTCACGGTGCCGCCTTGTTCTTTAAGTTTTGTGTAGCACTCGATAAGAGGCTGCAGAAATTTAACAAGTGAAAAAGGGGAAGACAAACAAGTATTAAAGAACTGCCTTTGCCTTAATGTTCACACACACGGAGAACTGTTTAATGACAACCTAATAAAAGTACAAGGCAGCGTCAAGAAATATTACTGAGCTCCATCCAAAACCCCAACAAGTCTCTTACCTCTTTGTACTGTGAATAAACGACGAAAGGCCGAGAGGGGGAGAGGAATTTAATCAGGCCCAAAAGGACGGGACACGGGTGGAATCGACTCGCTATGACCAACCTGCAGGTGGAGAAACAAAACGATGACCAGGCAAACATGTCCAACATAAAAAAAGCTCCGTCAATAGTACATTTTGTAATTGGAAATGTTCAGTTGTGCAGCATTGTAATTCAGCTGATCAGAGCTGCATGTGGCACAGCAACAGAAGACGTACTGCCGCTCTGTGACCGAGAGCAAGTCGATATTTTATCTAACTGGGCGAGAATCAGAAAATAAGTTTGATTTAGGACAATGTGGGAACTCGTTTAGTGGCTTCTGTATTTTACAGCTTGTAGAATTTAAAGATTTCTACAAGCTAACACGATGAATTCTTGTAGTCCAGGCAGAGGTCACCTTCCTGTCAGCACATCTATCAATCATAAAAAACTGTAAGGTTCTTTATATCCTCAAAGGAAACTGCAAAGCAATCAATCTGTTCACCTTGTAGGAGTGCTTCACTCATCATTTTGTGTGAGGCCAGAGGACGGCAAATCATTGTTTATGATTATTACGGATGAAGTTAGCAACGCTTTATTCATTCTTATTCAATGTCTCTGGAAATCTATTTTAACTGTCTTTATTGACTGCGAGGTTTAATTGTGAATTGATGAAAGCAGAGGCAGGACAGGAGGAGGCTGATGCTGATGAAAGCAGAGAGGTGCAGAGAAAGATAAATGTGAACGCAGGAGCTAATCTGACACGGACCCATCAGCATCCCTGCCCTCCAGCAGAGCAGCAGCAGCTGCCAGCTTCCGCCGCTTCTCCTCCAGCTTCACTTTTTTTTCTTGAACCTTTAAAACAAAACAACAACAAAAACATGCAGGGGTACAAGTTTAATTTACATCATCCCTCATCTGCTCTTCCACCAATCAAACACAAGCTTGCTTCTGTTCTTGTTACATGCAGACTACAAAGAATAACCAAAGACTTCTCAAACTCTGAACAGACTTTCACTTCTTTTCGTTTCTCCTTCTCCAGTTCCTCCTGGTCCGGAGCAGCATCTTCAGCAGCGGTCGTCTCCATACGCTGCTCCTCTGGACTGCCTTCCTGCTGCTCTGCCTCAGGCTGGTTTTGTTCTTCCTCTGCAGAAACATCAAAAAGTTTTTCACTTGTAACCCTAGAAAAGACAAGTTTCTGTAAGACGATTGTTCTAAAATTAATAACTAAATAACAATTTAATTTTACTTTAACAATGAATGGTTCTCTTTTTGTTCCCCCTGTTAGTAAAGTTTGGTGGTCAGTGGTTTACCTGCAGCAGATAGCAGTCAAAATGCTGTCAGTTTGGATTATGAAAGGAAGCAAAGCTAACAAATAGTAAATGGACTATACTTATATAGTGTTTATTATCAAATCAAGATACTCAAAGTGTTTTACCATCTGTTCCCTCGTGTACCTTCACACACATATTCATACAGCACTCTACTAGATCTCTACAGAACTAATCTGAACCTGCAGAGATTAATCAGTGTTTTATCACATTCATACACTGATGGGACACGCATCGGAGGCATTGAGGGGTTCAGTGTTTTGCCCAGGGACACTTCAGCATGTGACTGCTGGTGGAATCGAACCCACAACTCTCACATTGGAGGACGACTGTTCAAACCACTCAGCCACAGCTGCCCCAAAGAAACAAGACAAGTGCCAAGTTGTTCACACTTTAAAATTAATTAAACCTAAAAGAAATTACAGAAGATTGGCTAAACGCAATACAGTAGTCTCTATTTTATCACGGAGGATTCGTACCCGGAAACCCCACGATAAGTGAAAAATGGCGAAGTAGGAATAGCAGTACAAGTAGTAGTTTATTTTAGTTTATATATATATATATATATATATATATATATATATATATATACCGTATTTTCCACTGTACACGTCGCACCGCCCAATAAGTCGCATAAGTCCAAATATGTCTAATACAGTGTAAAAAAAACATAAATAAGTTGCTTCACCATATAAGTTGCATCTATTATGCATCACCGCTGACGCGTCGTATTTGTTATGCGTCACCGTTGACAACTCAGAAATGTGGGCCGGTGTTGAGCCAAAAAAATCGATTGGCTTCCAAATGGTGGCCGTGGGAGCATGCACGGGAGGACTTTAACAAGAATTTAACAAGATTAACACCTAAAAACAATTATATATTTGCTCGAAATTATAGTAAAGGTGCGTCTCAGTTTCACTTTTGCTTAATAAACGCACCTTGACGGTCAAATCAGCTGCATTTCTCAAAAGACGATTCGCAGAAGCGGGAGCGCGCAGACGCAGGACTCGCTGCGTATTTCTTCTAAATTTAATAAGATAACCACCTAAAACAATTATTTGTTTGCTTGACAATATAGTAAAGGTGTGTCTCAGTTGAACTTTTACTTAATAAATGCACTTTAATGGTCAAATTAGCTGCATTTCACCTGGGCAGCGTGGTGAAATTAAGCTGATCTCATGGTTGATCCGGTCGAGCTGGACGAAGGTGGCAGGCTATGGCAAGCTGATTGTGTCATTAATAGCCACTTTTACCTACTACATGACACAACGGCATAGAACTCGAGTGCCATCTAGTGGCTGAAAATGGTAGTGTTCAATATTTTTAGTCAGAATATATGAAAATGGACATATCTCAGCCAAAAGTTGGTTTATAAATATGGGAAAAAAATTCATAAATACGTTGCTTCGGTGTACAAGTCGCAGGGCAAATTATGCAAAAAAACACAACTTATAGGCCGAAAATATACATTATGGTGTTTTAAACCCTTCACACACTCTTGCAATATTTTAAACAATGTTTCTAAACGCTCTAAAAGATCACAGAATGTCGTTTCAGCTCTCTGCCACGGCTGCACTCTGGCCACGCCCACTTCTCCACAGCAGAACGGAGATCACAGAGGAGGAGCGGCAGGAGGACATTTCTCCTGCAGTGTGGGCTGCACACAGGTACTAAATAATTTAACATAATTTATTTTAAATACAAATTCCATGCAGATCGTACGGCTCATCCATCAGTCAGCCAGTTGTGTGTCACGTCCAATCTAATTTTGAAAAACCGCGATGGAGCGAGTCCGCGAAAAACGAACCACCAAGTAGTGAGAAACTACTGTATTGTGAGTTTACACTATTGTAAATTTGCATTATTTATTTACAAAACAAAAACTTGTTGCAAAACACAAAGACGCGCTCAAAGCGGGTCAAGTTGTGAACACAGCTCTGTGTGGTGGACTGTCCAACATTCACAGCTTGACTGGCGATATTAAAACAACCAGAGGATGAGAGCTAATGAACATGACTCTGCTGCTTCTTCAACTTTGCATCAGTACTGAAGCTACCAGTACTTTAATTTTACTGTTCTGTTTTGGATAAAGCAGACAGAATGCTACATTAACTGCAAATGTTTAAAGACGCTACAATTCAGCTGGTCTGTTAGGTCACCATACACCCACTTAGTGATGCACAATATTGGATTTTAATGCCAATATCGGCCGATACTGATACCATGCCGATAATATCGTGCATCCCTACACCCACTCCCAGCTTCTGAGCTCAGTGGCTCTTTGGCTGGACATATCAGAGTCTTAAGGTGTAAAACTGGTGCTAACAGGAAGCAAAAAGTGCTCGTCAGGAGATAAGAATTAGTCAAGTTTTCAGTTTAACTAGAGACCAGCAGATCAGTCGTTCATAAATCCCCATTGTTATTGTATTTTCATTTTGGTGATTGATGAAGGCACCACAGCAAAGTGCCAACAATCAAAAGCTCAAGACATTTCTGTGGACAAAGGAAGAAAAAATATTCTTAGACAGAAATCAAGATCATCTTATATCTGTATTAGCAGGTCAAAGCTTTTCAAAAACCTGAGTTGATCATCTGAGATGTTGACCTCACCCAATGACCAGTGAAGATAAACAGCAGCTCCTCACAACCAACAACAAGAAGCAGCAGCTAAAGGAAACGAATGAATAAAACTGGCCATGAAAATGTCAATGATGTACCTCTGGGTGGAAAACAAGTTTTACCTCCAAACTAGCATTGTAACACTTCTTTAGTTAAATAAAAACACAGTCTTTAGACACTTCAGCACTAATTTGTAGGAGTTTGGAGAAAAGTACCGTCATACCAGCAGCGGGGTCTTTGACAGTGGTGTCCAGGGAGCCAGCTAACAAAGCGTTGACGTGGCAGATGGGAAACTCATGCAGCGTTTTGTGAAAATGAACAGGGAAGCCAAAGCTCTCCACACCCGCCCGAACAGGCCCCCCTCCTGGGTACATTTGAATCACTGAGCCGTAGCCTGGATGAGGAGAAAAGAGATGTTAATTAAGTAAAGGGCAGAGGAAAAGGTTTTGCTCAAGCTGCATGGAGAAACTATAATCTTTAGGACACGTCCAGCTGCACACACTTTCTGAAAGCAAACTCACCTCCCATTCGTTCCATGACGGCGCCCAGTACAAGTCCTGCACAAGTCTCAAACACCAGGACTTTGCTGCCAGCATGGATGTTGGACAGAGTCAACAACTGCGCGAGTGTGTCATACCGCAGGTGGCTGCATCACATGGAAGCACACAGAACGCAGTCATCCTCCTGATACCGGGGACAAATATCCCACGTGCTGTTTGTTAGTGGGTTAACTCACCAGATCTTTCCTGGCTCGCGGCCGTGGTACATCATAGCCAGGATACGAGAGGTCGGTTTAAGAATCGTCACAGTGTTTTCATACCTGATGACCACAAGCATTTATAAACACGTGACATGAGTTCACGTCTGCGACAGATTGTGAGTGGATCAGCAGAAGTGACTCACTTTTGCTTCTTTTTCTTGATGTACTTGTCCTGAGCGTATCCTGTCTTATTAGTGAACGTGGAGCTGTTCTCGATCAGCTGCTTAATGATTTCCTGAGGGCCAAACACACATCCATCCATAATCCCATCTGGCATTTGATGTTTTTGTACGTATGCCTAGTTTGTAAATTTAAAATGATTATCTTCTGTCAAGGGAATTCTGGTAAAGGTTTATGGATGTTTGTCACTAACTAATGTTAATGTGTGTGAGTTAGACCAGTGGTTCCCAACCTATTTCCTTCAAAGACCCCGCTTCTTACTTCCTGGCCAATCTGAGCCCCCCGGATCCCCGAAAAAGTGATAAAAGAGTAAAGTAAATATTATAAGTAATAGTAGTTTATACTGTATAAGTAAATACAGAATAAAGTCAATAATAAAATAATAAAGTGAATAGTTACAAACTTTTATTTGTAAAAAGGTATAAACTGAGAGTTGTACAACAGAAATAACTACAAGAACACTGTTTTGAGAATTACTCAAATAACTTTTCTTTAAAAACTAACAACAGAGTAATCTTTAAAATGGTCTTTAAAAAAATAAAAATGGTAATTTTGTCAAGATTTCTTCCTGATTCTATCATGATGCTGATTTTTGCATTTTTCAGGCAGGCAAGTTTCAGAAGTTGTTTTCAAATATTGTTTGTTCAGATTTTGTTGGGCGATTAATTGTCTCAGAAATTATCGCGATAAACAATAATATTGTTTGAAATTTGACAATAATTAGTAATTATTGTTAAACTTAAGACAAAATGTTGGTTAATTTATTTTGCGTGTAGTACATTTTTTCAACCACTTCTCGTGTCCTCAGAGTGGCTTATTTGAGTAAATAGAGATGATGAAAGGATATTTATTTAACTAACACGTCTCACAAATTCTCAATTATGCAACACTTAATACAAAACCAGGTTTTCACTTCAGTTGAACATGTAGACAAAATAACTGGACTTCACTTAAAATAAGACAGAATCCTTTTTTGAGAATAGTGAAGATTATTTGTAGTATTTTCAGTTCTGAACTTACAAACCAGATTCCAAAAAAGTTGGGACACTAAACAAATTGTGAATAAAAACTGAATGCAATGATGTGGAGATGGCAAATGTCAATATTTTATTTGTAATATAACATAGATGACAGATCAAAAGTTTAATCTGAGTAAATGTAACATTTTAAAGGAAAAATATGTTGATTCAAAATTTCACAGTGTCAACAAATCCCAAAAAAGTTGGGACAAGTAGCAATAAGTGGCTGGAAAAAGGAAATTAAAACACTAATTAGGTCAATTGACAACAAGATTGGGTATAAAAAGAGCTTCTCAGAGTGTCAGTGTCTCTCAGAAGCCAAGATGGTAAGAGGATCACCAATTCCACCATTGTTGTGCAGAAAGATAGTGCAGCAATACCAGAATGGTGTTACCCAGCGTAAAATAGCAAAGACTTTTAAGTTATCATCATCAACCGTGCATAACATCATCAAAAGACTCAGAGAATCTGGAACAATCGCTGTGCGTAAGGGTCAAAGCCGTAAAGCTCTACTGGATGCTCGTGATCTCTGGGCCCTTAAACGTCACTGCACCTCAAACAGGAATGCCACTGTCAAGGAAATAGAATGGGCTCAGGGATACTTCCAGAAAGCATTGTCAGTGAACACAATCCACCGTGCCATCTGCTGTTGCCAGCTGAAACTCTACAGTGCAAAGAGGAAGCCATTTCTAAGCAAGCTCCACAAGCTCAGACGTTTGCACTGGGCCAGGGGTCATTTAAAATGGAGTGTGGCAAAATGGAAGACTGTTCTGTGGTCAGATGAGTCACGATTTGAAGTTCTTTATGGAACACTGGGACGCCATGTCATCCGGACCAGAGAGGACAAGGATAGCCCAAGTTGTTATCAACGCTCCGTTCAGAAGCCTGCATCACTGATGGTATGGGGTTGCATGAGCGCTTGTGTCATGGGCAGCTTGCATGTCTGGAAAGGCACCATTAATGCAGAGAACTATGTTCAGGTTCTAGAACAACATATGCTCCCATCTAGACGTCATCTCTTTCAGGGAAGACCCTGCATTATTCAACACGATAATGCCAGACCACATTCTGCAGCAATCACAACATCATGGCTACGTAGGAGAAGGATCCGGGTACTGAAATGGCCAGCCTGCAGTCCAGATCTTTCACCTATAGAGAACATTTGGTGCATCATAAAGAGGAAGGTGCGACAAAGAAGGCCCAAGATGATTGAACAGTTAGAGGCCTGTATTAGACATGAATGGGAGAGCATTCCTATTTATAAACTTGAGAAACTGGTCTCCTCTGTCCCCAGACGTCTGTTGAGTGTTGTAAGAAGAAGGGGGGATGCCACACAGTGGTAAAAATGGACTTGTCCCAACTTTTTTGGGATTTGTTGACACCATGAAATTTGGAAACAACAGATTTTTCCCTTAAAATGATACATTCTCTCAGTTTAAACTTTTGATCTGTGATTTGTGTTCTATTCTGAATAAAATATTAGATGTTGGCACCTCCACATCGTTGCATTCAGTTTTTATTCACAATTTGTTTAGTGTCCCAACTTTTTTTTTAATCCGGTTTGTAAATTTTGTAAATTAATAATTATAAGTCTCAGCAAAGCTAAAGTGTTATAATAAATAAATGTGCCATCTGGTAATATATACTACTTTATTTACATTTTTTTGAAGTTTATCCAAATCTAAGTTTCATAGAAAACCGAAAAAAAAGTTCAAAATAAGAGAATTGTTTTTAAGTAAAATATAGAAAATACAACAAGCACAACTTTATTGTTTGTGTTGTAAACCAGCTGGTAAATTATTTTAGCACGTTTCTTTGTTGCATCAATAAATTCACTTTAAATTTCTTTCATAGAGAAGAAATAAATATTGGTATCAAACTTTGGAAACATTTGCGGACCCCTCTGGTCCCAAACCTTTTTCTGATGAAATAGAAAACTGTCTTAAGTTAAAGTTTATTAAAATAAAATGTGACTATAAAAAAATAAATTATTCGCCACATTCTACAGATAAAAAAAAAAAACAGACCATCTAATTTTTTTAATCAGTGTAGATGTAACTAGCTCCTGAGATGCTGTGACAACAAATTTGTGCACGTTAACTACAATGAAGGCACCAGTGCTGTTAAAGAGAGGCTGCCTTCTGTTTTTCCCCAATGAAGATTGATTGTTTCAATTATATTTCATTAATTTAATTTGCTAAAATGTAAAATAAATGGCAAATATGCTGAGGTTCTCCTTAGGAGTGATCAGGATGGATAAGATTAGGAATGAGATCATCAGAGGTACAGCACAGGTTGAACAACTGGGAGATAAAGTTAGAGACCAGACTGAGATGGTTTGGACATGTCCAGAGGAGGGACAGTGGTTTGGACATGTCCAGAGGAGGGACAGTGGTTTGGACATGTCCAGAGGAGGGACAGTGGTTTGGACATGTCCAGAGGAGGGACAGTGGGTATACTGGTAGAAGGATGTTAGAAATGCAGCTGCCAGGAAAGCCAAAGTGGAGATATATGGATGCAGTTAGAGAGGACATGGAGGTAGATGGAGTGAGGACAGAGTGAGATGAAGGAGGATGACTCGTGACGACCAATAAATGGAAATGCAGGCTCACATGCTCTGTCTTTACAATGTATACAACATTCCCTATGTGCTGGTTGTGGACATTGACGTGTGGAAGTCCATTTGATTGCCAAATATGAACCGGTATATATTTTTTTAAGCAGTTAAGTGTCTGTTATTTATTTTTGGAATCCTCTGATATCGCTCACACTGACATTTTAATATACTGTGCAGCCCTTTCAGTGTGGAAAAAAAAACATGTTGCCACAGAAGTTTCTTACTCCACAGCAGTAGAAACTGACAGCTGCGCAACATGTTCCCATTTCTGTGTAAAACTGAAGTTTCAGATGTACCTGACCCTCCAGACCTTGCTCTTTTAGTGTCTCAATGTCGTCCCTGGTCAGCTTCTGTGATTTCCCATCATCAACAATGTTCCTGTTGTCTGTTCCTGTCACTTTTACTTCTGCAACTAAACACAAGCACATTCAGACACAGAGAAACATTAAGAGTAACGAGCTGCCAGAGTTCATTTATACACTCATTCAAGCAGCCTGGAAGTAAATATTATTTTAGAATTGATTGGTAACATGATAAATTCATGTATTCACACCTGTAGAGCTCTCTGTGTCCTTGTCTTCCTTCTTGGGTTGCAGGACTCCTCCAGACAAGATCTCAAATGTGGTGCAGTACAGGTGCCCCACTACATTATCCAGAAAGATCCACTGCTTCTCAAAGATCACTTTCCTGTGTTGAAACAACCACACAACTCTCACAGTTGCATTGTGTGCATTATGCCAGTGCAGGCATCCATTACAAGTTTAGCTCAGTTTGTACTAAATAAAATAAAATTAAGAGGTACAAACTGAAACTTATTTTTAGCATTTTAAAAGTCGTAAATGTGCGGCTGACTCACTTCCTCGGTAGGATTTGCACAGCTTTGTAGATTCCTCCTCGTTTTAACACAACGCAGTCACCTTCTTTGATTCTGTACTCTTCATCTTCATTGTCCGCCATAATAAATGTCTCAGCGCTATCCTGACAAGTCAACTTCGCTTTAGACTAAGTGAACAGAGTCTTTGTTGACAAGGCACAGTTCATAAAAGGCACTAAACTACCCTGGAATAAAAAAAATAGTCCAGATACCTAAATCCACGTGTTAGCCTTTATTTTACTAGCTAAGGAGGATGGCTAAACGAAAGCAGATCATAGTCGGACCAACCCTTTCAACATGCGCGCCTGTGATTGGCTGACAGGAAATATGGACGAGAGTGTCAGCCAATAGGAGAAAGGTTCAGATAAAGAGTCGATTTCAGAGGAATCGATGTAAGAGGTCAGCCAGCATCATTATGTGTCTGTCAGAAGTGTCATAATAATGCTCCGAAGTGAAGATTTTTAATTTGTCTACTCTAGTTTTTTTTAAAAATAATTAAGTTAGTAATTTAAATTCTAGAAAGAACTGAACACACCATTTCACACAATCTCAAATACTAAAGCAACATATTTTGTCATTTATTACCGGCTTATTCTAACAATTATTATTATTATTATTATTATTATTATTTATTATTATTATTATTATTATTATTAATGATTATAAATTATATATATATTATATATATGTAATATTATATATATATAATATTATTATATTATTATATATTATATAATATATATTATATTATTATTATATTATATTATATTAATAATAATAATAATAATAATAATTTATTATTATTAATAATAATAATAATAATAATAATAAAGGAGGGAGTGGCAGCGCAGAGGTCAAAGGTGGGCCTGTGATCAGAAGGTCACTGGTTTGATTCCCCAGATTGACAAAATCAAAAATGTGGGTGGGGAAGGTGAAACACCCACACTTGTCTCCACCCTCATTTGCCCATGAGCAACGCCCTTAACCCCCACCATCTTCTCCCCTGAGTGCCCAAGATGGCAGCTCCCTGCTCCACACAGAGGGCTGTGGTAGCTTGGTGGTCTGGTTGCGTCAGGAAGGGCTTTCGGCATAAAAACAAACGACAAATCTTCATGCAAGATGAAATTGAATGGAATGTAAACTAACATATACACCTGTTACACAAAACGTAGCTAACAGCTAACTTTAGCTAAAAGATAAAGCTAATAAAATAGTACTGAATTGCTAAAATTAACCAGACAGTTGCTAAAAGAAACATTAGAAAACAAAGTCATAGAATGTATGCTAAAATGCAACATTTTTCAGTCAGGTCATGTGGACAGTTTATTTATTTTTTTGGTGCTGAAGCATTTCACCTTCGGTCCGGAAGGCTTCATCAGTCAAGGAAACACACAACAAAACTGATTGGAAGAATCAGTTTTCTGGGGCTCCCTACTTAGACTTATACCCTCGCGACCCGACCCCCAGATAAGTGGAAGAAAATGGATGGATGGATGGATAATACAAAAATATAAACATTACAAACACTGAAATTCACAGTACACCATTCCCAATTAAAGTTAAAGTTTTGCTATGTTTTATGCAGGGTTAAAGTAGCACAAATGTTGTTTGATCGCAAAAATCACACGTAGAAACTATTATCAGAAAAACAATAGTGTGAGCGCTGCATCAGTATAAACAAGAACAAATATGCATCCATCTTTTACCTGCTTCTTCTTGTCCAGGTGTCACTGGTGCCCATGTCCTGCAGTCACTGTGCTAGTGGCCGGGGACACCCTGGACAGGTCATAAGTCCATCAGGGACACAGAGACAACCATTCAGTCTCTCACTCACACCTAGGGACAATTTAGCATTACCAGTCAGTCTAATATGCATGTTTTTGGTCTGTGGGAGGAAACTGGAGTACCAGGAGAAAACCCACGCATGCACGGAGAGAACATGCAAACTCCACCCAGAAAGGCCCCTGGCCAGGATTTGATCCGGTGACCTTCTCACTGAGAGGCAGCAGCTCTACCAACTGTGTCACCGTAACGAAAATAATAACAATTCACACAAATATACAGTATACTTGTGTCGTAGAAAAAAAAAAGAGTCACAAACGATCACGTGTGGTTTTCTTCAAATTTATTAAATCTTTGGAGAACGATCAGGTTCACAGAAAGTCAGCACATCACAAGTACAGAACTTACTCCTGCCTTGTCCAATTTGAGTTTCTGACCCGTTCTGACTTCATGAAATGATAAGATTAGTTTTGTATGAAACTCATCAGGACCTGCCTCTCCCCTTCGCCTTGTCCTGGTGTTTTTCAGAACCGAACCCAGGCGGCTAACACTCTCAAGGTTTCTTACTGGAGGGAAGTGATAAGCATCTCTAGCCAGCTTCTACATTCTCCATCATTTCACAAACAGAGATATCAAATCATTCACAGTGATCTTAAAGTAATAAAAGGATTATAAATGTGGTAAAACAATATTGAATGTATCAGGAAGCAGATCAATAAATAATATTTGCCCTTCAAACTGGATCAAATATAGACACTAACAAGGAATACTGTCTTCTCCATTTTTTGTTCTAGTGAGAAGTCTGGAAGCTGCTTTGCAGACCAACTGCAATATATGTAAACTTTGTTGCCGCACAACATTTATAGGGAATTGCAATACTGTAATTCAAGCAGGAAAAAATGAAAGCGTGAATCACAGTCTAAGATTGCTCCAGGATAACATTGTACTAATCTTAGTAAAGCTTCTAAGTTGAAAATAATTGAATTGCATGGTTGTTCAATGCGAGGTTATTGTCAAGTGTAATGCCCAGAGTTTTTCAGTGTTTTGTCATGGGTTTACAGGGAGCCCAAATGATTTACAGCACAAGTCTAGAAAGTGTCTGGATCAATAATAATTAGCTCAGTCTTATCCACAGTAAATTGCAGGAAGTTAAGAACCATCCAGGACCTGAGGTCAAGGATGCAGTTGATTTACTGTTTTCTCTGCTCATCAAAATGACTAATTCAGATTTTTTAACCCCATAAAGGTGTTCCATTTGTACCTTAAATGGAGATTTTCTGTGCCACTTTTCTGCAAACATTATTTTTTTGAACTACACTTATACAATCCATCAATCAGTTGGCATGTTGTAAAGACTTGACTTTATATGTTAACTTAGTCTAAACTTAGCCTCAGGTTTAATTAGGAGCCGTTGGGAGTTTTGTTAAAAACGTCATGGATATGAGTTCTAACGTCACTAAAATATGCATAAAATATGCATTATATGTATGACATAAACTGCAAAACCACAGTGAACATTTATATACTGTATGCACACCTTACAGAAAAACCGCATGAATTTCACATGTTGAAATGAAACATCAAACATGTTTTGTGCATGTTTCCTGCTTGATTTTTAAACATTTTCAATATGTGATCCCATAGTTTTCTACATTAACTTTGTGGTCTTTCTGTAAGACGTTATGATAAAATAATAATACATAAGCTTCTTAAAACTTAGGATGTCTCACTAGTTTTGTATTTTTTTTTAAAAATTCAACTAAACCATCTTTAGAGTAGCTGTGCATACTGAGGCTTCACTGTCTGGTTGAGTGGCAGCAGCCAGAGTTGGGCATGGCTCTTATTATTTATGCATCCCATACTGTATCTCATATATCGGTGTATTTATTCATCAAGAACACCTATGTCATGACGTTTTTATAATTTCAAGCAAAGCACATCATAATTTGAAGATTAAAACGTCTACGAAACTCAGTGAAATGTGTAAAATATAACATTCAATGAAAAAAGTCATTAAATTATTATTATTTTGTTTTAGTTTATTAGGGAAAAGTCATTAAATGTAAAAAAGGTGTCTTCTCACAAATATTAGTTCATCTTAAATTTGACAAACCAACCATACCTACAAATATTTACAATAGCATATGTGTATTTTCATATGTAATGGCAGTTTAAAGTTGTTCTTCTGGCTGCTTCCCTCTGCAGGCGCAGACACAGCAAACACACACATGAAAAATTTGGCAATTTCCTGAAGCAACCTGGACTCAAACCTGCAGCCTTGGGATTAATGTAATGCTGACGTAAAGACAATCTGATATTGTTCTGTGAGCAAAAAGGTGTTACTTGTATCTGTCAGTGAGACACCTGAAAGATTTACTTTCACTCTATGAAAATTAACACAAAATACAGCACAAGATGGGCTGATTTATATTTCTTCGATCATTCTTGGCCTCCTGTGAGTTTATGGAACAGTTCTTCATCTAATGTCTCATTCTGGTCTTTGGATCGTGTAGAGAGGAAGATGTAACCACCGATGAACTCATGGACCACCTTGCAGTCGCAGCTCACCGTGCAGAAGGCTATTGTCACATTCTGGTCAAATTCTATCGTCACCTGAAATTAGATACAAGAGATTAACGATTCTCAGATATTAAAATGTATTTTTATCCACCCGATTAAGAATCAAACCCTTACTTGTCTTATTTCCCAGTTGACGTTCCACTGCTTCATGTTGGCGAACCTCCATGTGGTGACGGGCAAGCCAGAAGACATGTCAATACGAATCATCCGGTTATATGAAATCCCTAGAATTTCATCCTTTTTGCTTCCTCTGAATCTGAAAAACAAATAAAATGTGAATATGATGTTCCAGTACGTCACCGGATGCATGTTTATTTGATCCAAACATGCGCACTGTACCTGACGATGTAGTAGTTGATTCCAAACTCTGGAAGGGACTGCCAGGCTTGGATAAAGCGCATCTTGGCCTCCGTTAGCGACAGCTGGGCTATGTTATGATGGGCCTCCAGGATTCGAGTTGTCAGCTTGGTGCGACCATGAAACGCACAGTTAGCAACATTATATAGAACGAAGAGTCGTCATGCGGGTCTCAAACAAACCTGCTTAGTCTTTTGCTTTTTGGCGTAACGAGGGGAAACGAAACATTCAGCATTCATTTCCATGGCATCAAGGTCCGGAGCTGCCTGCCCAGGAGGTGGCGCCAGGCTTTTCATTTGCAAAAAGGCAAGGATGTTCCTCACTTCTGTCTTATAGGAGCTGTACGCCATTGTTTTGCCTTTGGAGGCGAGAATACACGCAGCTTTCCACTTGGCGTACTGTGTTTCCTGCATCGGGGGGAACACACACACAATGAGGGACTTACTGTCAAATCTACCCATAATTCTTAGGAAAGTGCTCTTGAAGGGATAGCTCAGATCTTGTTGGATTCAAGGCAAAGATTATGAACAATCATTGTCTTACCTGTCATAGCTAGCTGTTTGACCAACCTTTAGTTTGAAGAAACAGAGTTTAAGTCTGACTAGACCAATGGTGTCAAACTCACTTACAAAAAGGGGGACAAAATAAAAACCATTTTCAAACTAAGGGCCAGTTTCAGAATCTACATTAACTCAAGTTAGATACCCAACATCTTTTCTTGGTTGCAGAATCCTCAACAAGCGCTTGATTGGTCTCATTTTCCATTTTCCGTTGCCGTTTTGACATCATAATCAAACATTACTGAAAAAAATTAAATTGATAAAAGTATTTTACATTTAAAACAACATCTTGGGGGCCAGAGAAGATGTTAAGGAGGGCCACATTTGGCCCCCGTGCCTTGAGTTTGACACATATGGACTACTAGAATGATGAGCTGATGAATGTCAATTTAGTATTAGTTATTTAATAAAACACTCTTTGGTTATTTGCAAGCTCAAACAGAAACAGTAGCAGCTAGCTATGGCATGTTTAGTGCAAACTAAGTCACTTCCAGCAAGAATATATAAATATTTTGCCAAAAGAGTTGTTTAATGTTAAATTAAAGGTGGTTTAGTCTTAACCTCACCTACAAGGACGTCACTCCCCTTTGGAATTGACCCCACTAGGACAAGCCATTAGCTCATCAGCTGGTCAAAAATAAACTTATTTCTTTACATTGAGGTCATTCAAAGAGCTCTCTACAACAACTAAGATATTAATTATTCAGAAGATTTCCACTTAACCGCACTCCCAAATATCTGAAACATTCCTTTAACCAGTTAGGAGGAGGCGAGCTTTACATTGTCACATCGGATGTAGACTTCATTCATCCCGTCGGCAACCGGGAGCAGGAGCTTGATGCCAAACTTCTTGTCTGTGACGTTGACATCAGGAACCACCTCACAGCCTGTTGACGCAGGTGGAGATTTCAATTCTTACTAACAACAAGGCCAAACCAACAGATGTCGTAACACGATCGCATAATAATGTCAGCTTTGTCTGATTGTTGATTTTTAAACTTTTTCCAAACTGATCTCCATGTCCAAATGTTTTATCCATGCATATAATTTTTAGTATAAATTAGATTTTCATGTTCCAGCAAAGTACAGATGCAAGATGGGTTTTTAGCAAGCTTTGAGGAGGTAAATGATTCACTTGGAGGCTATTACAAATTTACACAACAAAAATCATAATCAGACTGTTTGTTCCTTGGTTCTGTGTCCTGACCTCGCAGATGAAACTGCTCGATTGGCTCTCCGCTGGAGGCCTCCTTGTTCTTGTAGTAAGAGATGGTGGTATCCTTGAACACAAACCAGTACTCTTTGTATGACCGCAGACTCAGTCTTTTGGGCCTGAATGAACACACACATATAATAATGTGTTATGTATTGTCATCATTGTACTGCATGTTCTCATACAATGGCGAAATTGGCTCTCTGCATTTGACCCATCCACCACCAGGTGGAGCAGTGGGAGGCTGAGGAATCTCAGCCATATATATATATATATATATATATATATATATATATATATATACACACACACAGTGTCTTTCAAAGTATTCGGCCCCCTTGAACTTTTCAAACTTTTGCCACATTTCAGGCTTCAAACATTAAGATATAAAATTTTAATTTTTTTGTGAAGAATCAACAACAAGTGGGACACAATCGTGAAGTGGAATGAAATTTATTGGATGTGTCAAACTTTTTTAACAAATAAAAAACTGAAAAGTGTGGCGTGCAATATTATTCGGCCCCTTTTGGATACAAAAAGATTTCCCAAGCTTTAAACATCCCAAGGAGCACTGTGCAAGCAATCATATTGAAATGGAAGGAGTATCAGACCACTGCAAATCTACCAAGACCCGGCCGTCCCTCTAAACTTTCATCTGGAACAAGCAGAAGACTGATCAGAGATGCAGCCAAGAGGCCCATGATCACTCTGGATGAACTGCAGAGATCTACAGCTGAGGTGGGAGAGTCTGTCCATAGGACAACAATCAGTTGTGCACTGCACAAATCTGGCCTTTATGGAAGAGTGGCAAGAAGAAAGACATTTCTCAAAGATATCCATAAAACGTGACATTTAAAGTTTGCCACAAGCACCTGGGAGACACACCAAACATGTGGAAGAAGGTGCTCTGGTCACATGAAACCAAAATCTAACTGTTTGGCCACAATGCAAAACGATATGTTTGGCGTAAAAGCAACACAGCTCATCACCCTGAACACACCATCCCCACTGTCAAACATGGTGGTGGCAGCATCATGGTTTGGGCCTGCTTTTCATCAGCAGGGACAGGGAAGATGGTCAGAATTGATGGGAAGATGGATGGGGCCAAATACAGGACCATTCTGGAAGAAAACCTGTTTGAGTCTGCAAGAGACCTGAGACTGGGACGGAGATTTATCTTCCAACAAGACAATGATCCAAAACATAAAACCAAATCTACAATGGAATGGTTCACAAATAAACGTATCCAGGTGTTGGAATGGCCAAGTCAAAGTCCAGACCTGAATCCAATCGAGAATCTGTGGAAAGAGCTG